AGGTCCCTTCCAACCCTAAATCTATGAAATCTATGAAATCTATGACCTTTCAGTTATATGAGTGTCCATATCTTTTGCTGTAGGTCAGACATTACAGTAACTGTGGTGCCAGCTTCTCTCAAGGGGTTGTTACACATTACACTTAGCACATTAACTGCACTTAAACTGCTAGCGTCCAAACATCCAAGCAGGAAAACACGTTAGATACATGCTAAGTGCCATCATACCATAGCAAAATTAGGACTTTTCTGGTGGAATATTTCCAGATCCTGTTACCTAATACGTGTTGAGCTAATGCCTGACTGCTCCACAGAGGTAATATGATCAGACTAGCGGAGGGCTGGGACTAAGAACCAGCTGTCTGTCAGTTAAAGCCCCCTCATGGAACCAGAGTGGATTTAAGACTCCAGTGTGGTAAGGGGCTTTGACCAACCGATAGCTGATTATCAGCCCCAGCCCTCCTATTGCACTAGAGGGAATTTAAGACTCTGATGTGGTGGGAGGTCTGGGACTGGTGATCAGCTGTTTGTCAAAGCCTCACCATGGTACAGTGGGATGTCTGGGACTCTGCTGCTCTCTGCCTCCATGCTGGGTCCCAGGTCCTGCCATGCTCTGTACCACTGGGTCCTGGGACTGGGTGCAGAGGCAGGGAGCACTGTAGGACCTGGGCTCTACTACTCCCTGCCTCTGCACTGGGTTTTGGGTCTCACTGTGCTCTCTGCCTTTGTGCAGGACTCAGTGTGGCAGCAGGTACACTATGGGACTGTTCTGGTGGGTCCCCAAGTTAAAACTGAAAATTAGCTGATTTTTGGCCTCAGCAGCAGGATGGCAGCAGAGCTGGTTCAAGACTCCCGTGTGCACTAAGTTCTCTATTTAGATCACAGTAAACATTAGCATGGGACTGCTCAGAAAACTTCCTGAGTTATATTAAGTGTCCTGTGCAACAAGGCCCTCAGTAAAAGCTATTATAGTACCCCTGGCTGTAGAGGGAAGTGCACAATTATTGTGATCCCACCTCATCCCAGCAGGAGGTTCTTTGCACAGATCACAGCTAATGTAGTCCTAGATGCAAACTGTCCAAGGAAGAGCTTATCCTGTAGGTCAACAAGAAACTGTTGGGCTGGATACAAGACTCCCCACTAGGTGCAATTCTCAGACCTTTGCTATGTAGGAGGTCAGGCTGGATGGTCCAAATGTTTCCTTCTGGCCTTGAAGTCTGTGGCCATAACATCTATGAAGGTGCTGGTAATGGGTAAGCTAACTGTCATATCAGGCCCAGGTTTGGATTGCACAAATGTATTTAGGACTATGACAAAAAGGGCTAAAGATAGAGGCCTGGGGCAGTGATGTACTTAGTGACAGGATGGACAAAAGAAAAGGATTAGGTGGACAGAGAGTTTGGGGCAGGCAGCAGATAGCCAGAAGTCCCAGAACAAAACCAGGGCAGGTGCTCAGACTAAGCCTTTCTATCATAGTCCTCACAGTTAATGGAGATGTGCAGGAGCTCCTCCAAAGCCAATATCCAGATGCATATGCCAACCCATCTCAAGAGATGGATCCCTTGTGTTTTGTAGATAACAACACCCAGCCAGTTGCTTTCATGAGAACTCCCCCCATTGTCACCTCAGCCGGGCAACAGAACTCAATACAAATGGGTAAGGAGCAGAAACCAATAGCTTCCTTTACATTGTGGACTCACTCGCAGGAGTATCTTTGTCCACATGCCTTGCATGTAGGAGATCAAGGAGGGGATGCCTCAGATAATGGCTTGATACCATTCTCTGACACAAGATAATATGCACGCATGCAATGCAAGGGGCCTACATAATGCAGTACATTTGCTGGCATATTCTTTAACATACATACTCATTTCTGCAGTAAGCTTGTTGGTGTGGGTGGGAGTGGGTATCAGGTCACCTTTCCCCATCGGCTGTAGAGCTACAACACAAACGATCAATCAAATCTGTATCAATTAGGAAAGAAAGTTTCATTAAGTCTCATTCAGGTAACACTACCAAAATCCATCCTGAATGATACTTTGTTCTAGTGGAATGCAGGACCTTTAGTTTGGTTTATCTGGCCGTGCTAGGAGTTACAGGCACAGACTATCAAACAGGCCCTACCAGCAGCATGGTGTGCCTTATCAAGTCTCATAGCCTCAGAGACCTCATAGACATACAAAATCCCATACAGAAGGTCTAGAACTCTAGTTATGGGCAGTATGGTAGCACCTGGGATAGGAAGCCAAGAAACCCTGGTTCTTCTGTCTCTTCCAACAGCCAGAGACGCTGAATGAAGCCTTGCCACTCATTTTGTTTAAGGGGTCTGGTACTCCCCAAGTGTGACCAGGACTGCTTGGCTTGCATCTGCAGCAGCCAGGATGCCACAGTAATCACCATCCAAGATGTACAGAGGCTCAGGACTTAGCTTCCAAGATCAGGTGCAGGCAGCTTAATACAATCACTGCTTTGACATATCAGTACTTTTTCTTTTCTGTTCCCATTCTTTGTCTGTCTTGTCTGCTAAGTCTGTGACTTCTTTGGACTGAACCTCTTGTTCAGTCTACACATGGTACAGCAATGAATAATAATGCCCCTCACAGCAGCTCTGCAAGCCCAATAGTAACATCCTAGCCTTCAAAGATTGCATTAAGTGCCTTTCATAGGAGTGCCAGAGACCTCCCGGGTGTTCAACAGACCTACAGGGCAACAAACAGATGTACCATATCTCTTGCAGAGGCCTAATGGAGGAAGAGAGTGCTTGGAGGCCATCAAAGGCTCCTAATTCTCATGGCTTGTTCCCTAGGTCAGAACAGTGGTAATAAAAAGTTTAAGTTGGCAATAAAAAAAAGTTAAATTGCAACTGGCGACTGAAGTCTGGTGCAACCCTTTGCTACAAGAGATATCACAGCTGATCATGCACTGAGTGACTTATTAAAGTTTGCCGTTGCTTTTTTCTACTCTGAGCATTCAAAAATCATGCTTCAGGCCCCATACCATGAATCAAGAATTTAGCTTAAAGATGTGAAATTAAAAAATAACGAATTAGGCTTTTTTTTCCTTTTCTTTTTCCTTTTGGCTTCCTGTGTTTTTTTAGCCTTTAGGAGTTACTTTCCCAAGCATATCTCTATTACCATGAGACTCAGATATAGTCTTTTTATAAAGTAAAAGCCAGAATTCATCACATAATGATGAGTCCAAGAGATGTGCCTTTAAGAAAAATATCAAATATAGCAAAACAGAAAACAAAAATCATAAGAGCTGCCAGCAGACTCACTGATTAAACAAATTAACTTGGTATTTGGGATGTTTTTGTTCATTGTAATTTTGGCAAGTGGTTGGATTTTAATGATACTGCCTCCATTCATCCAGGGCCTCACAACATTTAGAAATAGATAATGAGTGTTACGTTGTGCATGGCAGCTAAATATTAACTTCCCCTTTTGTAAAATGGGGAAACTGAGACACAGAGAGGTACTGGATAGCAAGCTGGATCCCAAGCAACTGCAGCACATAAAAATCAAGGCCTACCTTTGACTTAAGTAAAAAGTCTAAGATCTCACAGAGAGTCAGAGGCAGATTGGGGAAAAGAACGTAGGAATATTGATAGCCAGCACTGTGGTCTGACTAGGCAAACACACCATAGGACACTACACCATGCCTAGAAGGACTCTATCTATCCTCTTGACTCTGAGGACCTACCATCATAGCAAGGAGTTGAGGGTGTGGAGACTCCACAGTCCTATCCTAGACACCCTGTTCCAGAATTCTGCATCCTTTGTGGCACCGGAGACCATGTCCACAAATCTTGTGCTTCCCCAGCATCACAGGCCTGTCCCAGAATCTGCTCCCCTCCTGGCACTACAGGCTTGCCCATCACTCTATCCCCAAATTCGGTCCATTTACGGCACCAGGTCCATTTCCTTCAGTGGCCCAAGTACCTGGGGGAAGTCTACCTCACTGTGGAGCCCCGCTGTGAGGCGCTGACACAGATCGATCCACAAGCCGCCCCGATGTTCTCCGCTTCTGATTGCTACATTTTTTGTGACAAATTGATAAACTGCATCTTCACTCAGTTAAAGATTTGATCTCACTCTTTTAATCTGCTATCAATAAGATATTAATCGCGCACCCGACCCGCTCTGCTCCCTGGCCGCCTGCAAATCCAATAATCATTTCAGAATTCACAGCCGAGTGGGGCACTCCCTTCCAACAATTAATTTCAGGGGAGTCTCATTTATTTTCCCTATAACCCTCTCTCCCTCCCCTGCCTCCACAGCCACCAACTTCTCCCTCCCTCCCACTCCCCCCACCCACACACTCACTTCCCCACGGAAACTCTTGCTCAGCATAGATGGCTAGTGGGAGTGTGACTTACAGTAGAAGCCAGGCAGCATTTCCCAAACTCCCTTGCATTTGCTGCTCCATAGAACCAATTAGCCACCCCCCCTCCCTACCCACACACAGAACTTTAAGCCACATTCAACCCTGATACAACAGCCTGGACTTCAGTTGACTTACACTGGGGATGAATTTGGCCCCGTTCTGCTAAGCTTTTCTCTGTACAAATATATATGTGGCAATCATCCCAGTAGGGAGACCCATATCTATGTTGTGGGTTGGTAAGCACAGATTTGAGGGATAATGGCCCAGTCAGCAAATGAACTAGAGAATCCTCCAGTAGAGAATTCAGTGAAGAGCTTGTTCACACTCAGAGTTATTCAGGAATTGCTGCCCCCTGTACAGACAAACCCACTTAAAGAGCCCCTGCAGGCCAGAGGAAGGGCTCAGAAGGGCAAAACATAGAAGGAGCCCTGCCGTGCATTGCCAGTCTTACTCACTCCCTACCTCCCTCACTAAGATGTCTAAGGTCTTCTCTTTTCAATTGCTGCACTATTGCAGGTGGGATGGAGAGTGCCCAAGGAGGTAGGACAAAAAACTGGAATTTTGGAAACCTGTGTCCTCCTGGTTTTGCCACAGACTAGCTGTATTACCAGGTGTCTCTCTCGAGTCTTTTTCCCCCATCTTTTTTCCCCTAGAGTAGGATAAGTGGTAGGTACTCACTTCCGGAAAAGGTTTTGTGACCCAAGGATGAAAAACCTTGAGTGTTATTACCTTGGCTGACAGAGCTGGTCTGACAGTCTCAGCTTGTAAGCTATGGCTGCTGCTTGGATGGGAGACCAAGTGGTTATCCCAGCTTCTGCAGACACACAAGCCAAAGCACTGTGGTCAAACACTCTGTGCATATTGGACCATAAGAGGTGACTGAGTGAAAAGACTTTCAGTTGGTTCTGTTGCTGCTGAGGGCCAGAAATTGAAGACAAAAGAAGGAAATGTTGCCTTTATGTAGCACAGTGTGCATAGGGCACAGGTATTATTGATCCTGAGATGCCTATGGAGAATAACAAGCCCAGAGAGACCTTCACTATGCCAGGCTTCCTCTTCCTGCACCTTTACATGCGTGGTCACCCTACTCAAGGCCCAACCATATCCAGAACCTCCTCTTCAACTTGCTGTGGGCTTTGGCCATGGATCTATTGAGGGGAAGGACGGCTCTGTGGGACTGTATTGGTTGTTTTCCTTCTAACCCCCAGCCCAGTGGAGCACTGTAAGTCTTCCACCCATTCCCTTGAAATTGCCTCCAAGTAGACAGCTTTGTCCAAGGTTTTTTGCTCTGCCTTCCCTTCCTGTCCCAGTGTGTCCACCATGGACAGGGCCCCATTGTGTGTGCCTTCAGGTCTTCTTTCACAGCCTTACTCATTTCCTTCTCCGAGGCCAACCAGGCCAACATTTTTCAGTAGTGCTAAATCCACATTCATTGTTCTTAAGTTTATGACTATACATAAATTAGCATATGCATAAAGTTGTCTCATGCCTGGAGCTGCACAAAGCGTGGCAGCCTTGAACACAGAGGGCAGGAGGATTGCCCTCCAGGGACATGCAGACATCTCCCTGTTCCTATCATGAGGCACTTCCATGCCCAGAGTGGGTAACAGAATCATGCCTACACTTCAGGTTGCTTACCTCAAGGCTCGTCTCAAGCTATGCTTTGGTTGTCCATCATGTGAAATGTGATTCGGCTCTGCAAACCTGCAAAAAGTCTCCATGGGACCTTCAATGGCTCTCAGGGCAAAGATGAGCAGCGTCAGCAGCTGAATGCCCCCTAACAGCAGGCTGCACCATTGGTTCTGGGTTTTCACTGAGGGAAGAGTACACCCTAACAACTGGTTGAATGTGGTTCACCTGCTCTCGCAGCATCTTCAGGAGAAAGAAACCTGCCAAGGCAAGAGAGGGAAACAGAAGCTGTAATTTTAGCAGCAAGTTGCAGAAACCAAGGTAAGGGAGCAGGTAGGTTTGGGAGAGGAGGGAAAGCTTAGCCCCCTGCTAGAATGGAGAAGAGGATCTGACAAATTCTTTAAGCCCTTTGGGCACCAGAAAGTGCTGCGCCAAGTGTTTTAGCAACAAAAGTTTTGAGGAGAACAAATACTCTAATCCATTAATGAGCTGACTGATACCCCTCCTTCATGGTCTGGCTCTGTGTACTGGGAGAGCCACATGCCCCCTTTGGAGTGACCTGCCAGGGCTGCATCAGACTGATTCAAAACACTCGCCAGAATCCAATCCAATTACCCTGTGTTCCGCTGATGGCCCCACAGAGACAGCTCTTTCACTGCTGAGTCTTACTGGCCTGTTAATCCTTCCATCATTAAAAAAAGTCTTGTTCCTCCTTCCTGGGAGGCGGTGGCTGTAGGGGAAAAGAACACAAACCACTGAGATGGAGTCTATGCAACAAACCTCAAGCACTGGCTGTGGTGTTTGCTCCAAGCCAGACCTCCTGTTGAGCCGTGATCCATTCAGGAATGGCCATGAGGAGGACTCTGCTACCTGTCCCCTTCCACTCTTCCCCTCACCCCTATTCCAGGACATGAAATATGGACTCCACAGGGGAGAAGATCCTGTTACCCAATGTATCAGCCCTGCATAGGCCCCACATGCTGCTCCTGCACCACTGCTTTATTGGTGTCTCTTTAATGGGTCTGTCATTAAGCCAGAGAGAAGCAGGGTGGGAGGGTTCCCATAAAACAAAGGCCTCACAGCTAATGAACATAGCACCCAGGGGAAAGGACACAGCAGCAGCAGGTGTAGCTAGTCAAGCAGAGCTGAACTGGCTTTCTTGCAAGAGAAGGGCCCCTCCTCATTTGGATGAGACCACGGGAAATAGCTGCAAGCACACACACATGCACATAGAATCAGAAAATGGGAGCTAGAAGGGACCTCAGGAGGTCATCTAGTCCAACCCCCTGCTCAAAGCAGGACCAGCCCCAACTAGATCATCCCAGCCAAAGTTTTGTCCAGCTGGGTTTTGAAACGCCCCAAGGAAGAAACTTCCACAACCTCTCTGGGTAGTCTGTTCCAGTGTTTTACTACCTTCCTA